TGTTCCGTCCAACGTAGTGTGCGGCTTGTGTCCCCGAGCGGCCGGGCTGATCAAAACCAGCCTACTGCGAGTCGCTGCATAAGCGCCCGCTATTGACAGGTCGGTAAATACCTCATAGGCGCGCTCTGCTTCGAGTCGAGCGACCAGATGTGGGTTTTTGATGTGCCGTGGCTCTCCAAGAGCCGACATGTGCTGGCCGTTACTCAACATCCCCGGCCACAGATGAGCTGAAATTTCAGGATCCGCAGGAAATCCTCACTCCAGAAGGAATGAGCGTGGGGTTCCAATCACGTGAACGCGCTCCCTTGCGAGCATGCAGCCGCGGTCGCAGCAGCGCTGCTTTGGTGGACGTCATCACAGTGCGCTGGAGGCCGTGGGCCACATTGCGCGGTCATCCCCTATCGCGAGCTCACTACCCTGCCTTGTTGGCGGCCAAAAATCTGAAGCGTCGACAGGTGTCACAACCCAAACCCCATCAAAACACACTTTCGAAGGACACCGGATGGCGGCAGTGGCACCATGAGGGTCAGAGACTATATATGGGCCTCCGTAATGGCAGTAAGACCAATATCCCCTCGCTTTCGGACCCCTTCCAGATCTACCAGCCCTCTGCGATAATCCTCAGATTCAAAGAACGCACTCTGGGATTTCCGGGGACATGGCAGATCAGACAACGGAAATCAAAGATTCGGGTCGCATCCAATTCCAAGATCTCGAAAGCAATGCTGCTCGCCATGGCTTCCCGCTTCAACGGCAGACTACCGACATGTCCATTCGGACCATGTCGTCCGTTCGAAGCCGTGCGGTGACGATTGGGGCACAGGTAGCCGTCGAATATCGTGCCATGTAATTGCCCTTTTTTTCCTCTTTCTCTGGGAATATCCACTGATCTGGATGTGTGAAGTTCCGTCAAGCTCGATAGCGAGTCACAGAAGGAGCCGGAGCTCAAACAAAAGTCGCACGCAGATGAGCTCGCAGATGGTATGATGGCGCACGTCTATCTATTTTTCTTGGTGATTCTGTGGTCTAACACGTCGTCCACATGCAGAACTCAAGGAACTGCAATGGCATTCACTCTCATTGCCGGAGGTTTACGAGCGCCTTCAGACATCCTCAACCACCGGTCTCAGCTCAAGCAAGGTTCCGGAACTGCTCAAGACACACGGTGCAAACATCCCCACGCCGCCACCATCCCGCCTCGCCCACAAGATTTTCATGTACTTCTTTGGAGGCTTTGGGTCCCTCCTGCTTATCGGTGGAATTCTCGTTCTCATTGCCTACAAACCTCTCGGAAACCCCCCGGCTCCCGCAAATGCTGCGCTCGGTATCGTCCTTCTCATCGTCTTCGTTATCCAAGCAGGATTCAACGCCTGGCAGGATTACTCCTCGTCTAAGGTCATGAATTCCATCATGTCGATGCTTCCGGATACCTGTCTCGTTTTGAGAGATGGCCAGCAGACTCAAATTTCGTCTACCCAACTTGTACCCGGCGACATCTTGTTCGTGCGATTGGGCGACAAGATTGCCGCTGATCTCAGGATGTTGGAGGTGTCTATGGATTTGAAGTTTGATCGATCCGTTTTGACTGGTATGTGCAAGCGGTGCCACGATAACACTCATTTGAGTATTCGTACTAAACATTGAATAGGAGAATCAAAGCCTTCCCCGGCTACGGTGGATTCCACGGATAACAACTATCTCGAGACTCGCTGTATAGCTTTGCAGGGCACCCATTGTGTCAGTGGCAGCGGGATTGGTGTTGTTTGCGACACTGGTGACGGCACTGTTTTCGGCCGACTTGCGAAGTTGTCGAGTCGCCCAAAAAAGGGACTGACGCCGCTACAGAGGGAAATTCTCCGGTTTGTCTTCGTGATCTGTGGATTGGTGTTTATTGTGGTTACCCTGGTTATTATTCTGTGGTAAGTTACATCCGTTTGCAATTCGTGCTTCTGTTGACTGGTGCAGGGCTGCTTGGTTACGAAGATCGTATCCGCAGTGGATCAATGTTCCACTGCTCATCGTGGACTGTGTCAGTGTTGCCGTGGCCTTCATTCCCGAAGGACTTCCTATCGCCCTGGCAACATGTCTTACAATCACCGCGCATTCCATGAGAAAGAACAATATCCTCTGCAAATCTCTGGCAACTGTGGAGACTCTGGGATCGGTGTCGCTCCTTTGCTCCGACAAGACTGGAACTCTCACCAAGGCGCGTGGTTGTCTGTGCCCCCTGCAAACGGGACACTGCTGATGGCATAACAGAACAAGATGTTCGTCACAGATTTCTGTATCGGCCACGTTAAGCACACCGTACCTCACAGCGGAGCCCCCACGGCTGCCATGCTCGAGCTACAGGCCGTTGCAGGACTATGCAATGCTGGTGAATTCGACGCAACGACTCTTCATCTTCCTTTGGAGCTCCAGAAGATCATGGGTGACGCCACGGACCAGTCGATTCTTCGTTTTGCGCAAAGCATGAGTCCCGTTGCGGAGCTGCGAGAAAAATGGAAGAGAGTCTACGAGGTTCCTTTCAACAGCAAGAACAAGTTCATGCTTTCGCTGTTCGAGGAAATCTCAAAACAAGACGACGAGTCTGGGGAGTAGTAAGTGGCGCTTTTCTTCCGTTGGAGTCAACTGCTTTGGCGCTAACTCACCTTTCAAGCGTCCTCATGATGAAAGGTGCACCGGATATTCTGCTTCCCCGTTGCGGCTCCGTGCTTCTGCCAGATGGCTCCCAGGCTGCTCTCTCCACGGGATGGAGAGATCATCTGCAGAAAACCCAGATCCAATGGGCTATGGAAGGAAAACGTGTTCTCTTGCTCGCCAGCAAACGCATTCCGAAGTCGCGCTTCCCCTCCGCGCCCAACACCGCCGAGTTTGCCGACCAGATCAATGCAACCTCAGTCGCAGGTGATCTCAGACTCACAGGATTGGTAGGAATCGTTGACCCCCCTCGCGACGAAATCCCTGGTGTCATCGCAACCCTTCGCGGTGCCGGTCTCCGTGTTTTCATGGTCACCGGTGACTTCAGATTGACGGCACAGTCCATCGGACGTGAATGCGGTATCGTTACGGTTCCTCCGGATCAGGTCGAAGATTTTGCGTCCCTGGACAGAAACTACAAGATGGAAGGAAAGCCTGGTGCGAAATACATCCGCGATGACAACTTCGAGGGTGCAATCGTCCTCGAAGGCTCGGAATTGATGACGCTGAACGACGCCCAATGGGATCAACTGGCCCACTACAAGGAGATCGTCTTTGCAAGGACAACGCCGGAGCAGAAGTTGCGGATCGTCAAGGAGTTCCAGAAGAGAGATGAGGTTGTCGCAATGACTGGCGATGGTGTTAATGATGCTCCGGTATGTTCTTGCTTGTTGTGCATTATGTGCAGTCATGGCTGACCTGAATTCAGTCCCTGAAGGAAGCCGATGTCGGAATTGCGCTGGCTTCTGGCAGTGATGTCGCCATTGAGGCCGCAGACATGGTGCTCATGGGCAGTTTCGAGGGCATTGTCGGCGCTGTCAGGTCAGGAAGAACCGTCTTCGGTAAGAAAGCATTCTATTTATGTTATACGATGCATGCTAATGGCACCCAATAGACAACCTACGCAAGACAATCGCGTACCTTCTCCCCGCTGGAACTTTCAGTGAGCTTTGTAAGTATCCTGGCGCCGTTTTGTTACCACCAACGCTAATAGTTCCACAATAGGGCCCATCTTGATCAACGTATGTTTCGGGCTTCCGCAAATCCTCTCTTCCTTCCTCATGATCGTCATCTGCTGTTTCACCGACTGTGTCGCGGCCATGACCCTCGCCTACGAGAAGCCAGAAGCGGATACCCTCACGCGCAAGCCTCGCAACAACCGCACCGAGCATCTAGTCGATGCGAAGTTGATATTCCACGCGTACTTCTGCATTGGTGTCATCGAGTGTGTCTGCAGCATGGCGATGAGTTTCTGGTACATGCAGCGACAGGGTCTTCCGTTCTCGGCGCTGTGGCTGCATTACGGAAATGTGGATCCAAAGTACAGCCCCGAGTTCGTCACCAAGATTACAAACCAAGGAAGTTCGGTTTATTTCGTCACGCTTGTCGTTATGTAAGCGCATTCCCTTCCTTCCTTTAGCAGATACCCGACAGATGTGCTGATATATACACCCTTCAACGACAGGCAGTTTTTCAACCTCATGGCCACCCGGACCAGGCGGCTGAGTATCTTCCAGCAACCACCGATCGGCGTCAAGTACTCTAGAAACTTGTACCTATTCCCGGCGATCGTCTTTGCTATCGTCATCGTGTTTGTTTGTAAGTGCCCCCCACCCCCCCCCCCCCCACATTAATCCGCTATCACTAGTTCGACGACAACGTGCTGATCGATACCGCAGTCTGTTACATACCATTCTTCCAGAAGTTGATCAGTTCCACGCCGGTTGACGTCGAGCACTGGTTCCTTCCCGCAGCGTTTGGACTCGGCCTGTTGCTGTTCGATGAGGGGAGAAAATACATGGTCCGCAGATGGCCCAACGGCTTCCTTGGAAGGATCGCATGGTAATTGTCTAGCCTAATTTAGAGTAGAAGAAGAAGGAGGAGGAGGAGGAGGATGAGCTTTAATTGTAGAGCTTTGATTCCTTGTCCCCGCAGTGGCGAAAGCGCTGCAAAGGACTACATCGCAACCAGTGAACTTGGTGCAACCACGGTTCCGCCGAAAGCCCAAGCCATGCAGCACAACAACTTCTATTGCGGCGAGAATTGGGCAGCAGCACACTCTAGGCATGAAGGCGGGCCCGTCGATGTGATTTTCTAGATATCACTCGCGCCGTAAAATTGCACTAAAATCGTTAGCGCGAATGTAGGTAGTCCTTTACAGCCAGCACTTTCGCTACTGCGGGGGATGACATGCAGCGACAGTTGGCGATGCCAGTGGAGCGTTAATATACCTCTTTTTGGCTTAACAAAAGACAGGGTCCAAAAATGGAAAAAAAAAAAAAAAGGACACAAAAAGATAACTCCTCCGGGTGGGCTTGAACCACCAACCTCCTGATTGCGATTGCGGATGCGTAACAGTCAGACGCGCTAGCCAATTGCGCCACGGGGGATGTTCCTGACTGTTCTGAACATTTGCGCCTGTTCACTGATTTGTCTCCAGACTCCACATATTATTAGGAAGGGATGGGAATTGGCGGGAGTCGAGGACTTTGTTGGCAAGCAGAGGTGATGCCTCGGCTAGAGGATGGAGTCGTTCGTCCGTTGCTGTAGCGAACGTTGAGGATGGTGCACTGCCGCATATTTTACAAGGGAAATGCGATGGAACACCAGCTCGATGGCGGAGGTGGCGGAGGGAACACATTCTGGAGTGACAGAGAGCGCTCACACGGTTGAAAACTGGAACGCAAGCTGCAATAGGCCATGAAGAGCCAGACTTAGGTACAGTCGATTCTCTCTATAAGAATACGCTGGGGCGTATTCTTGTAAAGTGGAAATTCTTATAGAGCGAGTGGCTTGTCCCGTACAAACCGGTCACCCGTATTCTTATAGGGAGATTATTCTTATATACAATGTTCTTATAGGGAGAGTCGGCTGTGTTGATGAAGAGAGATTGGTGAAGATGAGAGCGACCCGGATGGTTTGGAAGAACTCGGGTAGCGTGGAGGAGGTTGCGCTGACGAGCTTGAAGAACCGCACGTCTTTATGTGGCCAGTGAGTATGAAAAAAAGACCCGTCAAGGCTGATCTGCCCTGAACACGCCGCGGTTGCTTTTTGATTTACCACTAGCAAAAAAAAAAATAAAAAAAAAAAAAAAAAATTAACTCGATAGTGACATATTTTTCCGCTCCGGTGACATATTATGTTTCGGACGAACAGGTCAGGTTTTTTTCACTTTGGAACAGCCCCGATCACCGGTGATGTACCAGTCTCCTCGACGTTCGCTACAGTATCTGTGGGGTCTTCCACGAGTTCTTAAAGCGTCAGGGGTGAGGTGCTGCGGTAACTAACTGGTGAAGCTGTGGAGGATGGGTAGAAATGCTGCCGTGCCTGTGGAAGGTATAATTGGCACCGAGGGAGGGGGCCGCAGCCGGTTTTGAAGAGAGGGAATAGGTGGTGAGGCGGTTGGGCTGGACGCAGTGCGGCTGCATTGGTTTTTGTTGACATGGAAGAAGCTGGGGGTATTTGCGAACGTTCATCGGCGTGATATCCTATGATGCTATTGCATAGTGCATACTTGAGCGAGCGGGCAGGGGGGTTTATGACCTCAAAAACCGAGTGAGCCCCACCGGTATGTGACCACATCTCTTCCAATAGGCATAAAGCTCTCCGGGCGATTAGCCAGCAGCTCGAGGAGATAAAAAGACTATCATACGGCTATGGCCAGCTGCAGATATTACAATCCAGGCCAGTGCAGTGGTGAGAAGTGTGTATTGCCGGAAGAAGCATAGACCACGGCTCCGGAGAATTGCTCCGATCTAGGGATCGGGTAGTGGCAGTAATATTGTGGCAGTAATTTCTACTCTTCACGGGTGACACGATATACGGCACATGGATCACTAGCTCGCACTCGAAACCTCGCCGACCATTTCCATCCCCAAAAAAAAAAAAGAAAAGAAAATTCGATCCAGAACCAATCATCCTACGGGACAGACCAATCATCCTACGGGATGTGTTCAAAACACAGCACACGCCGCCAAGCGAGTGTTGTGTAGTTAAATGAACTGTAGATACTGCCGGTGGGACTGTATCTGCCGAGAACGTGGCGGGAAAGGCAGAAAAAAAAAAAGCATCATGTAAGCATGTATGTATGGAACTATATTAACTGTTCCATGATCAGTCGAATGGAAGTGGCACGGTAGATACATGGCAGCAGATAGTCGAACCCACGTAGTAGTACGTGTTCCAGTGGTGTATTGAGAATGCGTACCTAGTCGCAGTTGTATTTTCGTGGAGCGAAAAATTAAATCATCATCATCATCATCATCGGTGTCATCGCCGCTGTGGCCACCGTCGATTCTGCAACAGGGGATGGGTTTGTTGGCTGGTTTATTTGTTTACATACCCCACGTCATGATCGCAACGCTGCATGCCGATTTTCAACAAACCTATTCATTTGATCGCCACCGCAAAATTGTTCCTACGCTTCCCGGCCCTAACCTCCTCCTTCTTCCACACCACCTTCCTCTTCTCCTCCGGGGGTGTGCCCAGTACCCAGAGTCCGTAAATCAATTTCGCGCTCAACTTCCTCTTAACGCAAGTATATCCCAAGCTCTGCATGATGGCTACGAGTCTGTCCTCATCCAAATACCTAGAATTGGTAACGCACGGTGCAGGGAGGACCAAAAACAGGCTCGGGAAAAACTCCTCCTCCTCCTCATGCTGCTGCTTCGTGCGGAGGAAGTTCGTAGTCCTCTGCAACATCTGCCCGCGGCCCTCGGGATCGGGAACATAATTCAGCACCAGGCTCAGGGAGATCATATCGAACCTCTCATCATCGCTCGTTGGCAGCGGACGCTGCATGAAATCCTGCTCCAAGATTTTGGCGTGCTGCGAATGGAGGTCTATACGCGTAACCTCAAACCGCCCGGATTTGGACACCGCGTTGTCGGGTGAGAGACAGCCAACTTCTAGCAGTGATTTTTTCCTGGTGCTATCTGCAGCTGCATCTTTCGGGGATGATGATGAGGATGACTTCACGTCGCCAAGCCACTCCATCAATACCCGCGAGCTGTCGCCACCGCGAGAGGGTGTTTGTCCATTGATCTAAACCGCATGCCATTATCTTCTCAGCCCTCAACCCACTTTTAGAGGATTGGGGGGGAGGATACACTAGCAAGCTGATAGCGCTCCAGCCCGCCCTTCTTTTCGATCTCAGTGCGCAGCGCGTGCGCGGCGGCATCGTCGCCGGCTTTTTGCGCCTGCGCAAGTTTCTTCTGCAGCGTGTGGTGCGAGCGGATCAGGGTGCGTGTGGCTTTTGAGGAGAGAGATGCGCGGCGCGGTGCTGGGTGCGATCGCGAGAGGAGCGAGGATCCAGATTTCGATTTCGATTTGCGCGCCATGATGGTCGTGGTGGTGGCGGTGGTGGTGAGGAAGGAAGACGCGATTTTTTTTGCGGTGTCTGTGCGCTGAGGCTCATCCCACGCGACTGGCCTTTGCTACTACTCTACACTGCCACGAATTTCTCACTTGCCGATGTGTGACACGCGAGGGAAAAGAAGGAATATGGCTTGTTTGAAAGGGGAAATTAAATTTTTTTCTTCGTGATCTCGGGTGGCAATTGAATTGCTTCTTTGTTTCTTGATAGAAGCTCGAGCTCAGCTTCGGATGAAACCCTCCCTTCAGCTGCAAAGGAAAAGGAAGCAAGTGCCGACAGTGGAAAGACGTGGGCAGACGTCCGTCGACACGACAAAACAAACTTTTTCATTCATCGACATCGTCCTCGAGCAAGATGGTTCAAGCAAGTCCAAACCGCCGACCCGCCTCAATCTATCTATGTGCCCAGAATATCCCCAACTATCTACACCATCAAGTACTTCCCGCCACCGGGGGTATATGCATTTAGTCACACACTGAAGGCAGCCGCGATCATGATCAACTCCCGAAATAAAGGATCAGCCCGTTCCAACGCTAGACAAAACTTTTTCTACTGAACAATAACACACACATACATACGTCCTTCAATGTAAATCCCATTCCACGGCATCGGGTCCTGCGTGTGCGGGAGCTGCTTTTGGAAAGTCCTTCCAGCTCCTGGAGCTGCAAGACGGGTCCCGTCAACACGTTTGACAGCTGTTCAGTCACTCACTCGAGCACTTGCCGAGAATATATGGACTCTAGCATGTCTGCCCCCCCTTTACTTTATCCTACATACTCTACTCTTACTTTCCTAGGTAGCAGCTGCGCTACGGCCACCAGCAAACGGCAAAAGCTTCCCGGCTGCATCATCGCTTGTTTAAGCGCACCCATACATAGAGTACGCACGGCCGGAATCGCAAACTCTGAGGCGAGAGCCAACACGGAGTGATTGGTTCGTGCACTAACCTAAGTAGAGTAGTTATATAACAGAGCATGCATGCAATTCAAGAAGCCTTGCGAACCAGGCTGAGCATGGAAAGAAGACCAGCTGGCGAGCCTACTGTGCCTAATGATCATCAAATCCATAAGGCGGACCAATTCACCCGCAAGCCTTCTCCGATATCGCAGGAAATGGCATTGAGGCAAAGTGGGGCGAACAAAACAAAAAAGTTTATTTCGCACACAGAAAAGACTGCAGCGGTGAATCCGCCCCCTGCCTGTTCATCTCGCGCTCGTCTGATCCCCACAACTTCAAAGCACAATGGGTGGCGGAGGATACAACTCGGTCAGATCCGCAAGTAATTTGCGGTCACGAGGAAAAAAGCAATTAGGTACAACAAACCAAAAAGCAAAAAAAAAAAATTAAAAATTGTACCTATCAGTTTTTCAACCAAACGGGTTTCAAATAGAAAGAAAGGCGAGCCTAGCCCGAAGACGGGTGGTGTGATATCGAGATTGGATATTAGGACCTGAAAAACTTTGGATAACTACCGCCGCCTGAGACATATGCCAATTGGCAGAGATAGATAGATAGATATGCAAGAACGATTTCCAGCCACCAAGACAGGGCTGTTGCAGGTAATGTGTAGCAGGCAATGTAAGTATGAAGTAGGCATTCTGGTTAACGACATGGTCTTCGTCATATGCATAGGCGTGGTGTTGTCCGTCTACTGCTTGAAATCAATGGAGCGTAAGGGTAGAGTACATGCACAGTCGATCTCAGGCGTTTGCTACTTGCGCCTAGAGTATGGGAAGAACTCTACATAGGCAGGTGTCTAGTCGGATGCTTCTCTAGCGGAATCTGGGGTGTATTTCTAAGTTGTAGATGCGGCGCGAAACACGAATTGATAAATTAAATCCAACCTCGGCGATTGAAGCCGGTAGTGAAAAAGAAGAGAGGGGGGGGGGGGGGTCCGTGGGGATTGAGACGCATGGATGTCAATGTCACTCTGACTAAGGGGGCGTATGTTGTGCAGCAGCTGCCGGGTCTGACTTGTGCTGACTTGATGTTTGACGACGACGAGAACAACGGGTG